GTAACGGGAAAAGAGGCATATTGCTATTACCATCCTTGAAACATTATTGAATTAATATTAGGTTAGGCTCAACAGTTGATTTAACTAAGACGTTAACTAATATTCTTGGTTTTCAGATGATCACAGCAGCAGCCATTWATGGTGTACAGTAAACAAAAGGAAATAAATTTACCTTCCATTRTTATGTGCACCAAAACAGCAACATASAAAGATTTCTCAAGAGCTCTTTTACATAATTATTAGCTCATACATAATGAGTTAACAATTAACTAATTGGAATAAATAATTGGATAAATGGAATAACCATGGAACATTGCCGGAATCAAGAAAGCATCACTTCAACATAACAGCCACAGCATGAAACAACAATATTCTTCTCGCACACTTATATGCATAGTACAATGGAATCATATATCAATATAATATATCAATAGTATCAAACCTCTGCAGCATCAAGCAGTGTTCTGGTTATCAGATCAGGCCTTGATAATTCCCTAYAATTAAGGCRCCTTTTGAGTAATGTTTGACAATGTTGCATTATGTATTTTGTTCAGAATTGCTATTTTATTTTAGYATCCAACAACATTATCAACACAACAATGATACATTAATGATATGACAGACAGTAAACAGCATTGCTTTATATAATAATTACAGCCAATTCCATTAATGTTGTACAGTTGTAAAGATGTTATAATATGATAACAACAAAGACCTTTTTTTCAAAATTCCTAGAAAGAATTTCGGTTAAAAAACTAAACATAAAAAGCAGATCAAATGTTATTGACATTGCCAAGATGTTTCATAACTTGATGTTGAATATTATTGTAAAAAAAATAAAGATGCGATAACCTTATGTAAATGACTTTGTTGYTGTCTTTATGTCTTCAAACTGAACAACATTTATGTGATTGACTGTATCTACGTACTTTCACAGAATATATGGCACACATGTAACAATTAAGGTTACTAATAAAACTATCTATCAATCAATAAGCTTACGTTGTACAACTCGAAAGCTCTGCAGAGCTCTGCTACTTTGGTCAACTTAAACCTACACTGTTTTCACTATAATTCAATAACTAATTAACAATTATTCGCCGAAGGCGAAGGGATTGTCGATTAACATTCACCGAGACGAAGTCCAAAATAACGGTATTTAAGGGTATTAAAACGGCTGAAGTACGTAGAGGGATGTCTCATACAGTTTTACAAGCTTACTGTTTATCGTGTTGTATTGGTAAGTTGGCCATATTTCCAATCGATGGAAATAATGTTGGGGCAGTAGTCGATGACAAAGAATCCAAAGACTGAGATTTACCAGTTTCATCCATTCCCTACTCACTTCATTCCAATAACAAAACACCCGCCATATTGATTTTTCTACGCATGANTTGTCTAGTACATAGGATTTTCATTCTCGATTCTGATTGGCTACCGCGCGCTTTTACATCATTGAACGTGATTGGCTGGGGAACTCATGTCAACATGGCGGCAGAAAGGTGATATCGTAGAGATGTGTAAAGCAACTGTTCAAACTCTGAAGCTACGTTATCGGCAACATGTGGTGTCTAAGAAAAGTTAGTCGTTCTTTTGACGTTTGCTGGTGTAGAAGATACCAAGAAAGTTAACGTACAGTCAGTCTTTCAGTTATTTTGAAGGGTCTAAACCTCAAGCGATGACTTGCGAGTCACTGTTTTGACACTTTGTCGAACTTTTTCACCTTAGCAACTTTTTACATTTTAGACTAGTTTGTGAAGAAGACCTGTGTAGACCATTGATGCGATACTTATGTGACCCAAAAGAAGCAATATGTACACCACTCTAGACATCATAGTTTTTGTGAAACAGATACAACAAAAAAGTTAATTTTGTTTTCTAAATTTTCTGATCAGCATTATTTAATCTGCACTATTTTAAAAGTTTATTTTTGTACTCTTAATAACTATTTTTCTATTTTTTAAGAATATAGCATCAGCACACTTGTAGGAGCATTTCTGATAGTGATATAAACTGGCTTAAAACCTGACACTTCATTAATAAATAGCTAGTACCTCATATACTTCAAACGTGTACATCCATACAAGTTATAATTTAATTGTTCTTTCCTCTGTTCTTTCATTATTACTAAATAATTAATCAAGTAAAACATTTGTTGTCAGATGAGAAATTGACAAATTTCTGTTTGGTGGATTACGCAGACAAAAATACAAAATTATTGATACAGAAATTTGCTTGATACTGCATTTCAGACCTGTCTAGCTCACTTTGGGTTTCCTCACTTTTAATGCACTTCTTTTATTGCTGTTTTTAATACTTATAATAAATATAACAAAGTAGAATGAAGTAAGAAACTTAATATGGTTAAAAGGATGTTTTGGCACTATTGATGTTTTCAACATTGCTATGAGAGTGAGCAAAACAAAAAGGTCCACCAGTCACAGTGGTGGTTTTCTTTTGTCAGGTCCACCAGCAATGTCGGACATCTTTTGTTTAACTTTCTCTCCTGGGAATGGTTGAAAACCATCAATTGGTATGAGAAATGTTTATCATAACTTTTGTTCTTCGTGCACGTTTTTTTTTAAATAGTTATTATTTTGCTGATGTACTCTGCAGTAAAAGTATGAAACATAAACTGCACTTTGGACTGTTTTATGCTAATTCTTTACTTCTTTACTTTTGATTTGTCTTAGATTTTTGTTTTTCTCTTTAATCTTACCTTTCTTTTCTTCTTTCTTATGTGAAACTTGCAATATTACTGGTCTGGATTAAGCATTCAATAAAGTATGCCTAAATTTATACATTAGGCAAGATAATGCTACTGAATAACAACTACTTATACTATGTACGGACCTCAATATCAAATCCTGATCTTAATTTTCCAAAAAAAGGAGACACAAGTAAATCAGAAATGAGCAATTCAGTTCCTTTGTGAGTTACTGTAACTTATGGCATCTATCACTACCTACAACCGCTAAACATAGATGGACTTCTAGGAGGGTTCATTTACATTATAAAAAGTGCATTCCTGGAACTAACACTAGGAAGTGTGTACCAATCCCATTTTTTGCAGTGACTTGAAACATCTACAGTTGATCATTAAATGTTATTTCAATTATGCTGGTAGAATAAAAAAGGAAATCATTTGACATAAAAGATTCGCGTCCGTGTTGAATGGCTTTACAATCTCGAACCGAAATCCCATACCACACGGCCGCTCATGTTGTAAACATTACAAATTTAACACCATAAAAAAAGTAGGTGAAATAACTTTCTGCGTTTCTAATGTAAATATATATTCGGATACCTTTGGTAAATAAATTATTAAGTTGGAGTTTGACCAAACACTTGTGAATGTTATCTGAACACAACAGTTTCAGGTCGGAGTAAAGAGATGGAAGTGTGAGTTGACATATTCTATGACAATTATACCAAATGTACGTTATCGTTAACGCTAAGGATTATGGTCACCAGAGGGGATCAGAGTGACTGCAAATCAAATAAAATGTAGATGAGCAATCATTGATAAAAAATTTACATTAAAACTCGATACACAAAAGTTCTACTTTCAGAAAAAATGTTTATAAGGTCCAAATTTCGAGTCTTTCTGGTCATCTATCCACAATGTAAACACACTGTGACGTCATTATGCCATGGGCCAATTGTTTTATGCAACTTTCATTAACATCAACAATAAATTTAATGATTTTTTTATGGTTATGCATTTGTATTTGTTAAAACATAATAGACACTGTACATTTAAAAAATGATTAAWATGTGGATTTTGTAGACAAGGCTATTTCCTTTCAAGCCCATGTCTTTTCAGTTTGAGCAGGCTGGCAGTCATCATCTAACAGTGAAGGTGGAGCAAATGTAGAACAGAGTTCAAGACTTGTGATAATATCTGTATGAGCAACAATAAAAATGCAGTTTAACCGGGAGTTAAACAATTTTTTTTCTGAAGAGCTGTAAACAGTTAGGTACTTGATACTTAATATTTCAAATATCTGTGTAGTTTTGGCTGGGCAATTGATAACTTAAGCGTATTGTAGTAGAGATGAATATGCAATAATGTAAGCTTAACTTCAGCTTATGACGAATTAATCTTGGCGTCACGGCTAACCAGTTTCGCACTACTTGTCAGGGGTACGTTATGACATGTTTCTTATTTCATAGCCTTTTTAGAGCTTGTTTAAAGGATATTTTAAAAGGGTTTGGTTGAACTTACCTGAAATCTGTAGAGAATCTTTCGGCATTGTCTCAAATTACCGGTTGTAATTTGTAACGACATTGATGATTTTCCAAAAGAAATGGATAAAACCAACATAGCAATAAAAAGTGCACTCAACCAAGACAAAATTATACAAGAAAACAATATTTTAGCTGCATTTCTTTGACTTCGTCAGAGTATTCCCCTTGTCCCCTTGGCCGCCATGTTTGTCCGCCATATTGACATGAGTTACCTAGTTCCCAGTTCCGACCGAGCCTTGTGAAATAAAAAGTCACGTGACCAACCCCATGTACTAGACAATATAGTAATGAGCTATGAGTATAAGCTAATGGAGTGTCCATGGTATTCAAATCGGATAAAGATTGCAAAAAGATCGACTGCTGTCTTTTTCATTGTTCTGTATAATAAACCTTCTTCCAAGTCAATCTCCCACAGATGAACATTCCACAGATGTGCTTAGAGAAGTTATTAGCATGCTAAATAGTCTTACCATTCTCAGGAATCCTAGGGGAAATCTTTCAAGAAMAACAGATGATACCCCTGGGTTACTGAGGATGCACATTTTCATTCTAGTACTATTTACACGAATCATTCCATTCTGTATTTATACATCTTAGGTGGCAAACTTTCATCAGCTTGTAAACTCAACCTTGATGGTCAACTGTCGCCAAATCAAGAGACATCCCATAATTTATCATCATCTTCCAGCCARGAAGATGTTGGTATTGACAGTACACASCACGACAATAGTAACCTTACATTACACTCATCAGCTATTGCAGATAATGATGATGATATCTTTGAAGGTACTGCAATTTTCTTTTCATTTATTACAGTGTGCATATCCCCTCAAAATGTCGATCTGGCATTAACGGGTTAGAAAGTAAAATTTTGTTCCAACTTTCACACAATCATTGTCATAAGCATGAATTTAAGCCATAATTCATGCCATGGCTATGTATAACTCCTTCAAGAGGACGATTTCGTGCTAATCTACATTAATTAACCACTGATTGTGGCTCATCAGTACAAGTCACCGTTCAGCGGTAATTTACGCAGTTGTGATAATGAACATTTCTTTCTGGACTTTGAAAACTTTAAACGTTTTCATTTCCTTATCCCTCATAGTGATCCGATGATTGAAAGTACTGTTTTTTTCAGTCATAATATTTACAAACATGAGCCAATTATAACTTCATTCATTACCTTGATTTATTGATCTAATTTGTAGACATTGATATATCGACCTCGCTGAGACCTCTTGCTCTCGAACCTTCTTCCAACACTTTATCAGGACAATTGGGAACTGGTAACGAGATTGATACAGGTATGTATATTCCATCTTCAATCCCAGTCCCACTGAAAAAAATCGCGCGCTTTAAAGGTTGTAAATTTGATGTAAATGATWTCCATTAAATTTACAGAATTTTKGACACTTGCATCATATTTACATCAAATTTACAACTTTTAAAGMGCGCGAATTTTTCCATTGTCCTTTCGTCTCGATCACTAGTGTAGGCGGTAGATACAGGCACCATCATGGTATGTATCCAAAAACGGTCTATAACAACTGTATTTACTCTACTTTTCTTTTTTAAAGGTATCGATCCTCTGATGTCTTCACCAGCCAGTAGTTCTTTTTCCACATCTCTTCCTATCACACTATCCCCCCCTTCYTTAACATCCCCATCTCCAACCGTCACTGGCAATGGCTCCTTTATCATGCCATCCTTATTTGGAAGTACATCAGGATTTCCTTCATCAGAGATTTCAGACTTAACCAAGCAGTGATACAAATAGAATAAATAATGACATTTTTCATATTAATACAAAAATGATCGAAGCGGTCGCGTGTATATTTTTACCACATTTTATTCTTTTGAAAAGAGTGAGTAAAAAAAATCATTTTTCCCAATGTATTCAATTCTAGAACAGAAGCTGTAGGCTACTGTTATTTTGCAAGCAGCGATTTATARATTTGCGAGTCTTTTTTGCATGGCTAGAGTGAAAAAGATACTGAAATAATGTTGTCATATTAAAACAGACTATTATAATACTTGACACATGAAAAATAAATTATTAGAAATCTGTCAATGAATGCGTAGTAATGTCTTTTATGTTGAATAGTCAAATGCCATCGGGATCGAAAACATAACCCTTTTACCACATTTGTCAGTTGTTTGTACGTTTTCTCGATTTCTCATTGGCCGGGAGTCCTGGTAAATACAAGTACATACCACGGTCAAGAGTTTTTTTCTGGGATTGTTATCTCAGTGTAGAATATATTTTGTGTKAAAAAACGTTTATGGTATGCCCTTTCATTCACCACGGTTGGCGTCATCTCGTTGTTGTTTATCCACTACTCTTCGCCTCGAAAAACAATTTTGACAATTCGATGACGCCATCATAAATCATAAATTGTTAACTTTACAAAATGGCTGCAACTGTCGTAGGAAAACAAACATTRAAAGTAAAACAAATAAGACTGTTTTACAGAGTTTTTAAATAAATGCAGTAACTGACACTGACAACGATCCCAACATACATTGCGAACGAGGAAAAATATATTGCAWTTTMACAGTTACCTGAGCTTGTAGGAACGCACGAGACTGCTTGCCAATAATGACATATGAAACAAAGGCATAGCATGCGTAGCACKTTSCCCATCACTGTAGGCGAAAGGCGGGTGTTCGTGTGAACCACAMAGACGTCTAAACCATGAAAAATAAGTAGTTTCGAAAATAGCTTGTCAAACTTGCATAAGGCTTCTTTAGTGAGAACTAGAAAAATCATTATTCCGCGTTGTAATTTATAATATAGCATAGATGTCATCGCATTTCCCTGTCAAATTTTCAAATTGTGATACAATAAAACACGTTTAAKAATGAAAGTTTTCTCATAATATAGTGATAGAGATTCTAACTAAATGAAATATTCTAATTAAGTCAGACAATCATTCGACGGRAAGTGGACTGCAGGTACTTAGGCTACTTTAGAATTGTTTACTAGAATATGAGGACAGTTATCGATCCTATTTTAGAGACACTTACACGATGCAACCAGATTAATCTTTACGCCTGATTGTCATGCTCCATGAAAATTGTTGCATTGCGCTTACACTCTCTCCGTTTGCCTTTTTAGAAGCACTTGACCATCTACAGCATTTTCAGAAAACGTTTAACTGAATACTAGTACTACAGCTGTATATTCTGCATAGTGCACTAAAAGAACACAATGTATTAATGTAAAACTCACAAAATGACAATTCTAAACCCTAGTTGCTTTCCATTTTTGCCTGTAGGGAGCTCTTTTGAAGTCTTTGAACGAACGACCAACAATGCATTACGGTCAAGGAACACCGGCATTATCAATGTTTAACGCCCTGAATTAGCTTTATCCAGCAACTTACAAAAACGTTGACAAAGAGAAATAGAACATTTTATTAAAAAGAAATGCAAAAAAAGAAAAAAGAAAAATATTCCAGCTAGCTAACTTGTTTTGTCCTTTTGATAAATCCCATTTGAAATCCCATTATTTCTCTCAAATAACTTTATTCAATTAGGCGTTTTTTGGCTGTAGACCTTACGATTCCAACAATTAGTAATATCGATGTATCTGGAATAAATGGTTTGCATGAGGACTAAATAATATCATTCTGGATCAACCTTCCAGGTGGCATAGTAAATAATTGCRAAATAAGTGACCAGTGCACTTGCCGGATGCTTCCTAAGGATRGAATATCGAGTTTCTTCTCTCAACGGTGATGAATTGATGGTAAATTGATATTCCTCTACTTGATTTCGTGAAGATTGAGTAATGTCAACTCGGTCATTCTTCAGCYTCAAATTTAATCCAGCTAGTAAGCTTTATGTACACTAGTACGATGTACAAATTGCAGTTAGTATTATTCAAAATAGTCAGGTATTTCAAAACTAATTATTTTTTCGTGAGTTTTTGATTATTTTAATATGCCATAACTATTTTTAGCAGCTATACAACAGACATTGTCCATCGCTCGYATTCAGTACTCACTGGTTTAAATGCTGACCGTCAGAATGACAAACGACTCCTTTTATTTTCTCACAAACTGAATCACTTTCGATTGTCATCAAAATGTAGTACATTTCGTGTGATTTAATTGAAGTCCTGCATTGGAAATCAAATTGTTTAAACGTGTAGTTTTTCTTCGTGAGTACTGACCATTGTTTGTCTTTTTCGTGTGTTTTGCTATGACCCCCCTCCCGTTTAGAACATCTCAGTTACAGATCTGTTATACCTTATTTTTACACGTCAGTGACGAAATACAATTTGTGGTTAGCTCCGTGACTTTTTCTCTTTTTTCTCCTTCCTTTTCTTCTATGTCTTTTTCAGTTCTCATTTTACTTAAATCTTGTTTAAAACACGGTTATTATTTCCAGTGTGCAGTGRAAAACTCCAACTGTGATAATGATACACTTCTGTCGAGGACAGTGTCTTATTTCAAGGTCAAATTGATGATGGCCTTATTACCGACCTGTTGCGACATGCCAAAAATGGTGTCTACGGAGAGAATGTTCTTCGACACAATTTCGAAAAGAAATCATTAGTCAATGTGCTGTAATTTTTACTCAATTCCATTTTGCTCTTTTTCATTGATAATGTTTTAAGTYGAAATCATTGATTCTCGCCGTACATAAATAGAAAAAATATTAATCTGCCGGCATCAAATAAAGAAACATGATATATCATAAACTCTCTTAAGGCACAGAAATTCGCTAAATAAATATGTCAATTTTGCTTATTACACAATAAATGCCGGCATCCAATATGGAAATCCGAGTAAAAGCTTTAAGACCGCCTATTTTTTATTTCACGGGGAAAATCAAAAGGTACAASGAATGGGTTAATTGCGAACTCCWATGCACTAGGCGGGTTCCATGCTTGATGCAGGGAGTTAATCCTCTTGCCTATCCCACTTAGAAAGTGTGAAATTCATTCATAATTTTAAAATGACCCCCGCCCGCATCCACTGTTAAACTGATATACAATAATAGATAGACCAATTATTGATCAGTAAAAGTCATTTTATTTACAGCTTTTTAATAAAATATGGCTAATACCATACATCTCTTTGTATAAATTATCTYGACCCGGTTTACCCAAACAATAAATATTCTTTGTGAAGAGTACACAACAGAAACCGGAATAGAATAAGAATTATTTGCCTCGCAATCCACCGTGAAATAGGAAACTGCTTACACTCGTGTAGACTTAACTATAAAAATATATTTTTTGATGGTGACGAATAAAAATATACAGTACAATTAATAGTACTATCTGCATTTAACCTTGAATGCGTAAATAAATATAACAATTTGTAAGTGTACATATATATATATAATTTATATAAACTATCTATAAATTGTCTCTGTAAAAATTTGATATCTAGGCGTAGTATGTCATTCCCATGCCCGAGGCCATCGGCGAAGGGTACATTGTTCTTGACTGGGTGTAGGCCGGGGGTGCTCTTGCCCAATAGGGCATTTGGAAACAAGGGTTAGCACCAGGATGCGCATACAATGAAGGGGCTCCAGGAAAACCGGCGTAGAATTCTGATCCAGAAAATTTATATGCAGCTTGAGCGTGTGCTTGAGCATCAGAAGTGATCGGTTGATTGAGCTGAGCGAGTCCTTGGAAGTCGTACTTGTAGGCATAACGCTTGCCGTGGATCTTTGTCATGATACTTTTATCGTAATAATACCGTAAAGCACGGCTTAGTTTATCATAGTTCATGTTTGGTTTGTTCTTTCGTTCTCCCCAGCGACGAGCAACTTCATCRGGATCAGTGAGTTTGAATTCCCCATTAGTACCTTCCCARACAATACAGTTGGCATTTTTAGGATCCGATAATAACTCCAACAAGAACTGCCACAATTGAATTTGGCCGCTTCCCGTTGCTGGTGTATCCGGTCGGTGTCCAAGAGAACTAGCCGAGAACGAACTCTGAAGTTGTGTATCAGAGAGTTGTTTATTTGGAACTACACYATCCTTGAGGTGGGACAGTCCTAAAAAATAACATTAATAATATATTAATATTATAATGCAAAGTAAAGGAATAAGAAAATGAAATAATGGAAAAATAAACGAATAAAAAGACAATAATTCTAAAAAGAATGACATGTAGAAAAAAAAGTGGAAAATATTTGTAGAACTTACTGGGTGTTTGTTGAGATGATGTCCAGCTAGTTGGAGTGGTTCTATCATAAGCTTCACTTCCAGTATAACGCGGTGATTGTCCAAACTCAGGACCCCTAAGGGCATTAGGATTGCTTGTAATTACTGGATGTTGTCTTGAATCGTACACAGATGACGCGGGAACGTAAGCCGGCCCTTGAGTAGAGGCTGGTGCCAATGCGCGATCAATATCGTCTGAAGTTAGGTTTGGCAAGGGTGCTATAAACAAACATTCAAGATGAGAAAATATTGAAACAACATGATAAAAAGACTACTGTGGGCTGACATGATGGAATGATGCCAGACMAATCCTTGTCTGACATAAGTACTTGATAAAAAAAGTCAAACTGACTTACTTTTTCTYAAAACACAAAGATGAGCCATAAGTATGTCTCCATTGTATGCGGGCGCGAGTTTCATAAAGTCTTCTCGGGTCAAACGGCAAAGATCTCGGCCGTCCATGTCAAATTTGTCCACGTCAATGTCTTTAAGACTGAACTCCTTGATGGCCCACAGGATCCATTGCTGAACATTTTCCTTTGTCCAATTCATGGGATCTAAAATATGAAAAACAAAAAAAATTARAATTAGAAGAAACTTGTTGCTTGGAGAATATAAAAGGTCAAGAATACCTATGGTTAGGTGCGGCAACTCTGTCACCGCCTCCATGACAAGAAAGATTAGGGCGGCAACTTAGTGTTGACAGGACCAAGATATATTACGCTTCAATTCTATCGGATTCTCTTACCTGCCGGGACGATCACTCGACGATCGTGCGCAAGGTTTTGTGGTGGCGCGGGTGACGGAGTGCTTCTTTCAAGGTAGTCATTGGTCGGAACAAACGGACGCTTGGCTGCGGGTTCCTCAAGCTCGGCTTCAAGAGACCTTTTCTTGCCATAAAATGAGTCATTTTTTTGACTTGGTTTGACGGGTTTGTAGGCGTCGTTAAACGGCGGGTCGAACAACGATTGTTCCTCTAAAAGCGATTCCTATAACCAAACGAAAGCGAATTTATCTTTACTTACATGTAAATTAAAATAGTTTCAGCATTACCGCTGATGGTCAGTGCGTATGCTACTTCATGAGATGTAGCGTTGTGTTTACTACTATCAAACATCACCTAACTTGATAAAGTTTAAAGGAAGACAAAAGCTGAAAAACCTAGCAATATAATGCTGTATATCAAGAAATAAACTATGAATACATTCTTATCAACAATAACTTTGAAATGTCATAAACAGTGAAAAGAGCAATCCTTACCTGTACATACACTGACGCGTCAGGCACTACGTTCGACTCCAGTCCATACATATTGTCGATGATCTAAAACCAGCAATAATGTTAGCCTATCTTTGTTGTTTCATAAAACTAATATAAGAAAACTTTGAAAACATACACAAGTATGCACTAGTAATTTGGAAAAACTGAGAGTGAGACTACACGAACCGCGGTTGAACCAAAACTCACCTTCGACGAAGTAATAATAAGTTCGTGTGAAGGAATGCCGGCCGGCGATAATTTTAAACAATGTGTTTTGAATATACTTTTCAATTCAGGACGAAAAGTTTCCTTTGCTTTATCCGGTTATCAAATGGTCAGTTAACTTTGGTTGACTCAACTCACGTTGACGGTTCACACTGGTTGAGAGCGCTAAAGGAACTGTGCTATATACCTTACTTTATAGCTTATCAGAGTTTTGTCAGATCAGCTTAGTCGTGTCGAGGGGGAGGGTCTATATGACATTGGAACATTAGGAGGTAGATGTTTTTGAGAGATCAACCAATAACAAGTCGCTAGACTCATAACACTTGATTCCCTTGAGGGCTTCTAACGCCCACGCTCAGACACACCTAGTGACGTCATACAAAGGTCAATGACCCATCGATATACTTGTATTACAATACTGTCAGTCAAGCAAGACTAACCACCAATCACGTCCAAGGTGACAATGATTAGTTTCTGCCTGTGTGTCGAAAGACAAAAGCCAAGTCTTAAACAACAAAAACTTGCAATCAAATAAACCGTTAATTTCAAGCATACAAAAACACTCGAMYAGTTTTAAATCGTATACAAATGATCTAAAGGTTTTTGTTCTAATTGGCAAACAAATAGCATCCATCTGGGTAATTAGCACATCAATCCCAACGTCTTATACAATTCACATGGAAAACAAGTGTAGACACAGCACGTGCAGCACTGCTACTGCGATAGAGTCGATAGAATAATTCAATCATTCGACGGACGTGGTAAGTTGTCTTTCTTTTCGTTTCCGTTCTTTTCTAGGCCTTTAACCTCAGCTCTTATGACGTCACAATAGCTGTCGTCTCGCTATCATCGTTGTGTAAATCAAAAGTATTGTTCTGAACTCCCTTGGGACGAGGTGTGTCAGATAAACAACTTAAACTAATTCACTTCGTAATAACTACGATATCATGTCTTTTGCAMAATCTCGCTTTTTCGCGCCGCAATGACCGCTCTTTCGTCTTGGTCAATAATTTCTTTCCGCGCGTATTCAATGATGTCAAAAAAAAAATTGTCGAATTAAACTTTTCTGTTTTGTGCTGAAATATTTTCTTGTCAAGAATGCATAATTGTCGTAATAAYACTTTCACACATTGCATGTGGGATATAGTTTACTGACTTGACCGCTGAAATCAAGTATTGTGTAAATAACCTCAGTTTTTCATTGTTAGATTTGGAGTTGTTCTTAGCGATAATTAGGAGTTTATTCCGTTACAAAGAATAGAATTGTAACCTATATAGAGCTTCATTTAATAACATTGTCTTAAAAAGGGTACGTAAAAAAGCGTCACTCGGCTTACGCAAACCATTTGCTTACTGTGGATTATGTGAACAATATTGACTTGGAGGGGGAGTGGTGTGGGCTCAAGACATGAAAAGTAACCAGAGGATTCTGGAGGCTTCCAGATTGTTCTGCTTTAGATTACGCAAACAAACAATTACTTAGCGACGTAATCACGTATGACGCACTGAGTTRAAGCGTTTTCTCAAAATGCAAAAACTGCGTAGTTCGGTCTAGTTCGTTCACTTTCCGTATTAAATTTCGATTCAGKATATTCCGAAGTTACGCGAGGCATCAGGATTGCTGATAGTAATATTATTTACCAAGATAGACACTTGTTATTCTTGCATAAGTACTTCAGTTAAATCTATGTTATGTAAGTACGCAATGGGCGATTCAGTTGTCAGATAGGTCTTTATCAAGAGCAAGAAAAATCTGAGAAACACGCTTGAAACTTAAAATAAGAGTCTAAAACTGCTATGATCACATTGATTCGCAGTAGACGGCAGCAAACGCGCCTTCATGGGTAATCTAAGAAATATGACGTTGGAATTTCAATTCGGTAGATGAATTTCTTTTTTATTTACCACGATAATTTTCAATAAAGTCAATTTCGTTGAGTTGATTTACAAGGTAAGTGCGTTGTGCAGTACAACAGCACGACATATCAATATTAAGATGGTGGCATATTTGTTGCAACTTCAGTAATTGATTTTTGAGCAGGTATCTAATCTTTGTAATTGTAATTCGTTTTTTTAGCTTTCTGCTAACAAATTAAATGAAATTAGTAAAGATCCACGGTGAGTCTGAAAGAGACTGTTCCTGCAAGAYCTGCATAGTTATGGATCACCTCCTGTCGGTAATAATGTGTAGTGGAGGTTTAATTAAAAGGKCTTGAAAAAAGATATAACGGTTTTCAGGGACAGAAAACTTAACTTGATTTCAAGTGCAATCTTCTGTAGTCTCTGTAGGACTTAAATATTTTTTTTCGATAGTGACCCTTGGAGTTGCTAAACTATAAAAAGGACAGAGTAAAACGGAGGTGACGGTTATTCCCCTGGTTTTATTCCAGTCTTGGTTTATTCAGTGACTGAAGTCCCTGTTTATATGATGAGATGATGAGGTAGGCGGCTCCTAAGTGCGAASCCTTGTTTTGTGAGACAACACCAYACCTTTGAGTACGAACAGAGACTAACTGGTCCAACGAACAGAGMCTAACTKATCCATCATAAAGATAGATATTATTAAATTGGAAATTAATGAAAGGTGTGCCTTTTCGACTTAATTAAACAACACTCACCTCGATTCAACGATCCGACTCAAGCTCTGGAGCTCTAGATACGAGTGAGCACTCTATGTAAGGTACTTGATGTGCAATTGTGATGTCTCTTCTATTAAGCCCACAGTATTTCTGTGAAGAATATTTGGAGTTTGAAATAATTTTTACTACGAAAAATTAAAACATGATTTCATGCCACAAGATTATACATTTTTRGCAGTTTTAGCTACGCCCTTTTTGGTAGCTAATCTGAGTGGAGTTTTAATTTTGGAACAATCAGGCCTGGCTCGGTTAGTAATAATACTTTTCCATAGAGGTACATTTTTCTTGTGATTGTTCGTGAATTCGTTCGCTATCGAAATTGTTGGCTGGCATATTTGAGAGSTTTCCCTACCTATCGCTGGCTCTCCACTGGGCGGTAATACATAAGTGGTTTCATAAAACCTATTTTCCGTTGGATTATTGAAAAGCTAAGGGTGCTATTAGTTTTTTTTCCGTCGTTTTACTTTGTCTAAAAAATCGTTAAATTTCAATGTTCTCTTCAAAAACTTCTTTAGTCCTTGTAGGGATTTTTTTTCAACTCCTACGACTAGTTTGGCATGTAAAGTACTCGTGTATTCTAAAATATATTCAGATCATGATCTAATCAGCTTTTCAATGATGAATGCCCACTATTTACTAATAAGAGATCTTCGATTACGGTGGGACAAGCGGAAAACCCTTTGGTGAACTTGGCCTCTATTACGTGACTTACGGCTAAGCTGAGTCATCATTGATTTCCCTTTGTTCTAAAAACTGCTTTAACCATCGTAACCGAAACTATATTCACAAAGCAGGTTTATGTTGGGTTTTCAGAACGTGAGCAAAAAGGCAAATGTGACGCAGACATTTCAGGTATCGCGTCAAWAACTTTCCGCGGTTTAATTATGAGAACATTTTTGACATGACACTCTTAGGAAAAGGACCCGAAGGTTGGCTGCAAAGAAAGTTATCATGGGACTATGGTGTATCGGATTGAAGTGTTTGTCAGTATCAGAACTTGGTATCAAATTTCGATTTATTTTAGATAATCAGAACTAACACCTTCTAATAAATCCAACAGAAAATCCAAAAGCGCGGCATGCCTTACGATAGTGTGACATTCAATTGACCATGTGACAAAAAAAAACTAATCAAGTGTGAATAAGACTACTCGGTTTAGCGCAACAGGCCGGATTCATCGTTCACAATTTATTATGTCGAGGGTATTTTGATATTCGTTTTCCCTTAAAAACAAATTCTAATCGGACGACTTTTGGCAACTTGCCTCCATGTCAATAAAAAAATCATGAGTGACTTTTTTCATTTTCATAACACAGTATTTTTAATATTGACGATATTGTTTACTGAGATGGCGACTCGAACAAAAAAATACACTTAAGAACGGCAAACACCAAAAGACTTCGAAAAGGCCTCTAGATTCACTATTTCAGTTGAGACTAGTACTCAGATAAAAATTCTACGTTAGTACATGATTGTAATTCCAAATGTTTCGGGATTGTCATTGATTAACTACAGCTATGTCGCAAWTTAGATCAGTTGTATTTGTACTATTTTATCACTGAATTCAATATTTTTTTTCGATGAAGCAACCCAGATAGCTCTTGGCTTTGATGTTTGATGTGGCGGCTGTGTTAGGAAGTTTGATATTCCCGATAATAGCTTAGTGTTAACCTTTTAAAATCACTGTTAATTTTTATCTATCGATGAAGGGTGTACGGCTGAGTATTGTTGGCAGTTGAACCTTGAAGACCTTTACATTCCTATATTGCCGCACCCATGACTTGATTGCTTCTTATTGGTTAACGTAAACTCAAAATAACAATTAGACAGAAATAGTAAGTGCCCCAGGATACCAGTACCTCTAGAATTACAAGATCACATAATGTGCTTCAACGTGTTTGTCTATTCAATAACTARAGGACCCATGTTGTGAATATTGTTTCGGCTTTCAGTCAAAAGCTTTTTCCTTTAAAAGAAGGAAAAACAGGAAGAAAATTTCTAAAGAAATAATCAAGACATCATCATAAGACTCACTATTGACCACTTTTAAGTTCGATAACGAAATACAGTTCAGATGGTAAACAGAACGTGTGGTAGTTATCTCAGAACGATGTGGGATTGAGGAGAGAGGAGAGGGGGAAGAGGAGAAGGGCTATAAAGCATGACCAGCATCCATGAAAAACTCTACAAATSAAAATGCTTTCTAAAAATGTTTGACAAAACCTTAAGCTTCAATGTTATTACTATTCTCATTAGCTTTGAACATAGTTAGTATTAACTATGCTTTGAAATAGTTCTGAAGGTACATGAGAATGTTACTTGTTCCGACAGATCCCTACGTCGCAGGTCATCGAAGACTTAACTCTGTAAAAAGTACCGGGAAGTACACATCCGAWTTCAAATGTTTCCTAAGTTAGACTCGCATTTTCCGGGATAAACAAATAGTGTAGGAAATCCTTTGTTAACAAGATATTTTATATCCATTTTAAATGTTTGCTTTTCCTATGTTTTCAGTCTTGTTTTTGTTTTTTTGTTTAGTTGGGGTTTGCCTGTATGTAGTTTAGCTCCATTCCCACAAGAAGTAAATATTTCTATTCAATAGAGTAAATCTTTTACCCCGGAAATTCTGAAAAAGTTCTCSTGGCGGAAAGCCGAGAAAACAACTAAATACCTTGTAAACAACGAGAGCGTAGACAGGCTCTTCGTTCAACGAACTTGACAGTCATTCTCAGAAATCTTTCAGTTTTTCAAAATTGTCATTTTGAACTAATGCTGAGCCGTAGTAACAATCCTACCAAACCAATGATCTGAACTTGAATATCAATCCAGCTACTGGCAAAAGCATTCATTAATCGGTCTATTCATACTCGCTGAGCTGAACGTCACCAAAAAATTTCGTTTTCCATTATTGAGATAAAAAACCTTCCAGTTTCGTTTGGCTTGATCATCCTTACCGCATGACAAGTTACATCAACCACGTTTGTCAGCTAAAGCTTCAAAGACCCTTCAAATATTTATACACCATTGCACTTTAATTGAGTTCATCACTTCAAAAACATTACAAAAAAAAACACACACACACAAAGGTGTGTGTACGTTGTTATGACTAGAAACTCTGAAAATGCCGCGTTATATTTGACTGTCATACTTTAATAGTCAAATTTTGTTTCACCGTTTTATGATASTGTGTACATCATCCCTTAGAGCGCTTGCTCGGGCTCAGAGAGCAATCACATGATAAAAGAGACACGTGATAAATATGACACGTGGGTAATGTCGGTTAT